TGGTGATATTAAAACATGACCTGTTCCAAAAGAGATATCTACCATTAACACCATTTACCAGCCAAATGCTGGTAAATCATGCAAGTGGCTGGTACTGTATGTTGCATGCACCAGCCAAAAATAACAATGGCAATCTATTGAGTGGCTAGTAACATTTCAACATTCACTAGGTTAGCCATTTGGCCAGTTGACAAAAATGTTAAAATTTGACCTCTGCAACCGTATTGTTTAATTACACTGGGTCTCTAATTACATCTTTTAAGTCTACTATAAATAAACATATTCCTCTATCCTCTCACTCAAACCCAGTGTAATGGTAACCTGATAAACCTGTAACATTAACGTTACGTGGTCAACAATAAACCTGTAACCTGCCTATAAACCGACAGATGTATTTATGTATGTAACTATGTATTTTTCTACGTTTAACGTTAGCCAGTAGATGGTGGCAGCGGAACGTAATGATTAACGTTACCGACCTTTTTTATGTCATGTCAAGAGTTGGATGTCAACGCCACTCAACGCAAACAAGTGTGACAAGCAAACATTCACTCATCTTTTCAAATATTCAGTTACAAAGCTAGTAGCAAGCTAAGTTAACATTACATAGCTGATGCTGAGCTAAACATGTTTGCTAACCGTCCAGATGCGTTAATGTGACTGACCTCTCCGGGTGAGTTTTCAAGTGCCTGATGACATTTGACGTTGTTGCACCAGCATCGTTGATTTTAATATTGCAGACTTTGCAGTGTGCGCTCCTTTTGTTGGTGCCGCCGGCGTTTTGTTCGAAGTTTTTATAGTTGAACCTAATTACAAGCGGTACAGCTGCAGGTGTGCCGCCAGTCGCCATGGTGTTACCATGATGTTAATGTTAAAGTTAAAGGTGGGGTAGGTAAGTTTGAGAAACCGGCTCGAGATACACTTTTTGTTATATTCCATGGAATGCTCTTAACATCCCGATAGCCGGCCCGGCTAAAGTAACTGGATGGCCTAACTGCCTGTCAGCCTGCCATCGGGGCACAAACTTATCTCGTGCCCTCATTGGTCATGTGTGCGTTCGTGTGTGTTGGAGGAGGGGCTCTGTGAGGAAGTGGCAGATTTTCTCCGGTTGTGTATTTTCAAATTCTAGCGATCTCGAGCCGGTTTCTCAAACTTACCTACCCCACCTTTAATACGCCAAAAATAGAAAACACAATGATTGTTCACGAGTCCCAAAACACGAGTCCAAGTCGAGTCCGAAGTCTTTTGAGCAGGAGTCCAAGTCAAGTCTGAAGTCTCTGTGTGTGCGACTTAAGTGCGACTCGAGTCCGAGTCACAGACTCGAGTCCCCATCTATGTTAGGATGTAATCAATCGTTTCTCGAGAACATCAAGGTGCTGGATTTGTCTTACAATCAGAGGCTGCCTACGATGGCTTTTGAAGGAGTGGATTTAAGGCGTGTAAGCTATCTGCGTTTGCGTTCAACAAGTGTCAAGGTCATGGAGTTTTTAAACATCAGCAATATCAATGCAGGTCACGTTGATTTCTCTGACATGGGCCTTGAAAATGACAGAGTTATTATGCATATTGTTAAAGGAAAAAAATGGGGAATCGATACAAAATGTAAGCCTGGGTAGTAACAAGATTGTGAATCTGACAAACAACATTCTTAACCAATGTCCTAACATCACACAGGCTTTGGATCTTTCCCACAATAAACTGAGAAACATAAGTTGTCTTAACTTTCTCGATAGACAGACAATGCTAAAGAGCGTCAATTTAGAACACAACCATCTCACCTTCCTGAAATCTTGTAAACCACCACAAATGGGTAATTTAACCAATATAACAGATCTGAGCTATCGCTACAACCGCATCCGATCGGTCGGCTCTTATGCTTTCTATCGAACACCAAATATCACGACACTACAGCTTAACATAAACACAATAGCTTATCTCGATCGTAAAGCTCTCATGGGGTTAAACAAGCTGGAGATACTCCGTCTGGATAATAACCTCTTAACTGATTTGTTCAGTGAGACCTTTGAAAATACTTTCAACCTGAAAATCCTCAACCTACGCAACAATCGTATCTCTGTAATTTTTAATAGGACCTTCCACAGTTTAAAGAATCTTAACACACTGGACCTAGGAGGAAATAAGATCACTCATATCAAGCCATCTGGCCTTGATGAACTACAAAGTCTGTCCAAATTCTATCTCGATGGAAACAACCTCCAAACGATTGAAAATTCCCTCCATCGTGTATTTCAAGACACGCTAACTGTTCTGGATTTACAGAGTAATACGTTTTGCTTCCTCGAGGACAACGACAGTTCACCATTTATGAACCTCAGCAAACTGAAGGATCTGAAACTGGACGGGCAGCGACCACATGGCCTCACAGTTTTACCCCCACATTTTTTCGATGGCCTCCACTCCCTGAAATCTCTGTATCTAACGAACAATAACATCTTCAATCTTCCTCCCGATGCCTTTGATAATCTGACAGGCTTAAGTTTCCTCACGTTAGATAACTGCTGTGTTGGGGTGACACAACTACAGCCAGGAATCTTTAAAAATCTAAGAAATTTGACCCGATTGACTGTTGAAAATATAGGTATTCAGAACTTTACAAAAGTTGCACATACTGCAACTCAACCGCAATGTAATGCAGAGTATTCGTTTGGACGCACTAGAAAGTTTACCTAAACTTCACTACCTCGACATACAGAATATTCCTCTATCTGCACCTGTGAAAACAGCTTGCTGCAAAACTGGACAGTGCACAACCAAAATACCCAGGTGGTCTATCTCTACAATCTTCCGTGCCCAAACCAAGCAAAAAGCAGATTCCACAACTTTGACACCAAAGTTTGTTACATAGATTTGGAAGAGTACTTCTTCCTTAGCACAGCAGTTGTGATCTTCCTGTTCACAGTAGCTCCTTTACTTTATGTCAAACTGTACTGGAAAATGAAGTATGGCTACTATGTGTTCATTTCTTGGTTTGGTGAGCAGTGGCGCAGACTCAGAGAGAAGGAGGAAAATTGCAAATATGACGCATTTATTTCCTATAACTCCTCTTATGAACAATGGGTCATGGACCAGTTAATTCTGAACCTGGAGGGCAATGGATCGTCTTTTAAACTTTGTCTACATCACAGGGACTTTGAGCTTGGCCGCAATATTGTGGACAACATTTTCTCTGCTGTATATAGCCGCCGCAAAACTATCTGTGTGGTGAGCAGGAATTTCCTCAAGAGTGAGTGGTGTTCTCTGGAAATCCAACTGGCCAGCTACCGCCTCTTCGATGAGCACCGGGACGTCCTCCTGCTTGTGTGTCTGGAGCAAATCTCAGAGAGGCAGGTGTCGTGCTATCACAGCATGAGGAAAGTCATGTTGAAAAAGACTTATCTGCAGTGGCCTAGCTCAGACTGCACTGACCCGACGCAGGCCCAAGCGCTGTTTTGGAATCAGCTAAGAAGGGCAATAAGATCCGGGAGCAGACAAGAAGCAGAGGAAATTAACAATGAAGTTCATGAAGAAGAGGAACCTGGAAATGTTGACACTCACACATCAGATGAAAAATATTACTTGCTTACTTGAAAATGTTCATGTGTGACTGTTGAGACAAACCTTTCATTAAAGAGCCTGTGACAGCCTCCCAACAGCTGTTGTGCAATGAAATATTGGGCTACTAGTAATCCCAAACCGTCAGTTTAAAAAAGAAGGTGCGATACCGTTCCGATAAATATAAATAATTTCGAACATCGCGGGGAAATTCCTTCGACTCATTTTGAAGTTTTGGGGGAAGCCGGAAGTGACGTCAATGCGGGAACGCTTCACTGTGTGGCGAGAGAGCCAAACACGGACAAAGTGTGTTGTCATGCGTAGAAATGGTGAATTACTGAGTTTAGGCACGTTAATACCGTTTTAATGAAGTTGACTACAGTATATTCATATTTGTCAGTGCTTTCATGTCAATTCGGCGAACATAAACATAAATGATCGTGGTGAAGATGATTAAATTAGGATTACAAATCGGTAGTGAGAGCTGCTGAATTTCCTCCCGTACTGATATAAAAACAAATCGATTATTTTTGTAGTTGTAAACTCAAGTGGATTAAACTACATTTATTAGTGCTTTCATGTCAATACGGCGAACATATGATACATTAAATGATCGTGAGGATGATGATTAAAAATAGTTTGTTTGAGTCGGTCTGCATTTCCTGATGAGAAAACAAACCGATGCTTTTTGTAGTTGTAGTACACCAACGTGGATTAAACGTGTGTTTTTTTTTACCACAATGTTGGGGAAATTAATGGATAAAATGCACGGATTATGATTATTATTATTCCTACTCCGATCGGGACACTAGGTCCACCGTTTCCCCGCAGCGAGGCTCCCCCCGTTGACAGTTTACGTTGGCTGGGCTGGGTGGAGTGGCGGACTGGCCATCGGGACGATTCCCGATGGGCCGGTACCGAAGTGGGCCGGTCGAGAGTCCCGGGCTGATTTTTAGTCCCAGTCCACCACTGGCTACATGACCGTATTATCGCCCATATTGACGCACCTAATTCCTAAACTTCTAACAGATACAACATAAACCGATCCTTCAGCCTCATATGAGCTCTCAGACACGTTCAAAATTAAACTGTCATCGCTGTCTGAGCTTGCTGCTGTGTGCGCCATCGTGCGTTTGCATGCAGATGTTGGGATCCGGAACGGTGCAGCTGGAGCTCTTGGCCCGCAATTACGTCACACATAATTTGGCGGGATTTGAAGAATCCCCGAGAAGATCCAGAATATGGTCAACATTGAAGGGCAGATTAATGGTTATCAAAGTACAAATATCCAAAATCAGTTCAGTAACGGTTTCAAGGGGACAATATTTACTCAAATTGATGGGTTTGGATGATGGGGGAAACTCGTGTCACAGGCTCTTTAAGTTCAATGCATAATAAAATGTTCTGCTGTTTGGAGAGGAACATGAAAATATGGTGGAAATGTGAAGTATGATCCATTGTACTGTGAACTTTTAATCCATACAAGCATTAATCAGAGGTGTCATTTAATTGATGTGCTCAATTCGTTGCATTACACAATTGTGATAATGTGTTTTATTGCATTTAAATGTAGCCCACACACAATATATGAAAATGCTTTCACAATAGCACATCTGGCAAAGCTTCTTCTATAAGAATTTCCCGTTATAACACCAGTGTTAAAGATGATATGTACACAGCTCTGCACATTAAAAAATGTTCCTAAAATGCAAACAATACATTATTGTGCGTTTGTTTATCTCAGCATAAATGGGTCAAAAGAATAGAAGAGATAACTCTTGTGATGTCAGCTACTGCTATTACATTTAATACTGTGTCTTTAATTAAAAATAATACGAGCACACGCAACATATTTTTCGCTCTCAACAAAAAATCTTGATGGTTTGAATTGAGAGCATTTTAAGTTTGTCAAAGAAATGTTCACAGGCTTGTCTTTATGCAGAGCTTCACTCTATATTAGTACAGTCTCATTGGAGGGAAGGTCCACTGCTCAGGGCTCGGGAAAGAAGAGAGGGGGGCTGCTGGGTCTTTGTCTATCATGTGAGATGGAGGGTAATGTTTCATGTCAGTGTGGTGGTAGGACCTGAGGGGAGGGCCAGTAGAAGGATGACTGAATTGGCTGTAGGGATGGAAACTCTCTTGAGGATGGTGAGTTTGGGTGGGGAAGGAGGGAGCAAATGAATATCTGTCAGATTCAAATGGGTCTGGGAAATGCATTAGCTCAGCAGGACGTCGATCTGGCAGCTGAGTTTGATAAGGGAAGAAAGGCTGGATGGTGCTGCTCCTCTCTGCTCTGGTGTTGTCTTTGGAGGTGTTTTCAAAGGAATCAAAAGTAAAATCTTTATTGCTCCTGTTTCTGTTGAAGCTGTCTTCCCACGGCTCAGACTGTGAGGCCTTTTGTCCCCAGCATGAGGGTGGAGAGAACAAATGACTGCTGGCTGTACCTCCAGAGGGCTCAAAGTCCATGCAGAACTGAGGAGCGCAAGAAGGTCTGGTGATGTCATCAAAAATGCTGACAGAAGTCTCCACAGGGCTTGTCAACCAATCAGCGGTCTTTACATACAAATCAGAAAGCATTTTATTCCAGAGTAATACAAATTAAAATGACAAAATAAGGGATAACAGTTGACCATATGTTAAATGAACTAAATTAAGGAAGTGAAGTTAAGGTCTTACCTGTTCCATGTTTCGGTTTGGTTGTGGCCTGGATTTCCAGCTAAAATGTCTACTTCCAGTCGTTCTGAAAGGTGTGGTTTTCTGGGCGTCAAAACATGTCTGATTAGCAGTTTCGGCTTGAAACGCTGCTTTGAACACATCTAAAAAGGAAGAGACCAAACTGAAAACCTGCCCACAAATTATAATGCGAACAGTGCTTACCACTGCTTTTATAATACAATAAATGTGCTAATGTTTATCGTGAATACATTCAGTTCTCATTCTCATTCAGTTCAAGAAGAATACCTTTTACATCTTATAATAATAAACCGTCATAAAAACAATATGAACATTCAACGATGTTTTCACTGCTGTATTCATACTGTGTTCATACTGTGTTCATACTGGCCATTAAGAAATCCCACCAACCTAAATGTGCTTTTAATGTAATTAAGGGGTGAAAAATCCATAGTCTCATTCTGTGCATTAATGTTAGTTAATGTCAAGGTAATATAAAGCTTCTTCTATTCTTTGTACAAAATGCACTCTTTTTGTAACTTTTCGTCCTCTAAATCTGAGCAAGGAAACACTATGCATAAAGGTAAGACAGTAACTGTTAAAAGATGCAGAGCATGCAGGACAACACAATGACATTCCTGTTCTGAATGATTAACAGTAGGCGGTGATAATATCTGTGGCCTGTGATGTTGCAACAAAGTCAATAAAAAAATATACTGTAGATTTAAACAATTCATGTTTTTAGTTAGCTTTGCAACAGTTTCATAATGAAATCAATGTATTTAATGCATTTTGAAGGCATAAAGAATGCAGTGTTATTTAAACTCATTTGATAAAGTGAACATTTAATAAAAACATAGATTTTTGTTTTAAAGATGGTTAATATGCACAGTACAATCAATATTGAGAATACAGAAGTTATTGATACCTATACTAAAATAAGTCAAAATCACATGATACCATGTGAACATGAATAAATGCCTAAAATGTACTTGTTGCTCATTTTTGTAGATTAGATTGTGAACCACCATATCTGAATATAACAGTGGCGTAATGATACAGAAAGATGATGAGACATATAGTCAGAATGACGTATCACTTCAAATCAACCATAACGTTTAAAAAACCATCACATTTCATTTGGTCAGAAGCGTCTAGAATTTGAGAGCCTACCTGGAGGTAGAAGCTCTTCCATCATGGTCGACTCCTGAGGTTGGACTTTCTTTGAGGGATCAGCACCAAAGCTGAGGCATCGCTGCACCTCATGGAGGTTTCCCTGAAGCTGCGATCCGTGGTTGTCCCGTAGAGCTCTCAGCAGGACCTCTCTGCTCTCTGCCACCAGGTTTCTCCTCCTCAGCAGTGGGAACCGCAGAGAGTCAGTCAAACGTGCTGCCACGGCACCGACAGACTGAGACACACAGTCAGGATCTGGTCTTCTGGGCTGTATGTCAGAGATGTCAGCAATGGGGGAGCTGGACAGCTGAAGGGGGCTCGGGCTGACACCATGAGCCTGTGTGTGATGGACAGGAGAGTCCCTGTTCATTGGGGTGTGGTCCAGAGCAGAAATCATGTGTCCTTTTACCTTCCTGTTTAATGTGTTCATAACAGTGAGAGTCAGCTGAGACTCTTTGCCCTCAGCAGACACGTCAGGGTTCATCTTATTGCTCTTGACTATCACAACATCGCTGGAGCTGTTTTTCAATGAGATGCTTTGAACACTTTCCAAAGAAAGCTCAAGTTGTGGCTGCGCTCTCTGCCCGGCTGTTATTTCTGATCCCTGACTGATTTGATTATCTTTCTTCTCGCAATCATCATGGCCTGTTTGTTTTTCCAATGGCAGACTTTCATCATTATCAGCAACCAATAAATCATTAATGGAGGATGGAGAAGGGATTTGGGATGTTGAAAAGGTATGTGAAGTAGCATTTTTGTTTTCATGTACTTGCTGTCCACTTTTCAGTTTCAGTTTCCTCTGCTCACTTAACAAGCGTTCAATGTCGATAGACTTCACCTCATGGTTGAACAGGCCTTGGTGTCCTATCAGGCGACTGTCCGTTATTATGCTGGGCTCCTGTGCAGCAGGAGTGGTGGTTGGAAAAGATGCCGCTCTCCTTGAAGGACAGTGACAGCTACTATGACAGCCGTTCTCGAAATGTGCCGCCATGTCGCTACTGATTTGGCGGCGGCATTGATGATGATGTGATTTGTACGCTAGGACTTCTTTCCCACCACCTCTCATCTGACTCCTGTCCTTGCGGCTCCTACGTCTTTTCATTTTGTTCTGCTCATCTGTTTTACTATGATTTGAACAGTTGCAGTCTGCAGTGAATCTGTTCACTGAGCGAGGGTTTTTATCTGCTGATTTCAGTTGATTGTTGAAAACATTTAAAATCTTTTCTTTGTCCGATGAAGACATGCCGCACAGGTGGCTCATGCTGCACCAGTTTCTGCAGAAAGATAAGCACGAGTCATTTGTAAGACTGTAAAAACCGAGATAAGAGAGCCAGGTCACCTCTGCAGGATGTTGTTGCACCTCAGTGATGCCAACTCTTATAAAGCAAATTACTTGTGTTTTAATGACAGTTGCCGGCTAAATCAAAATGTTGACCCTCTGGACTGTGGCCTGCACATTATCCATACTGAAAAAGCATATCAAATGTATTTTCTTAACACTTTACTGTATGACATGTCTGCAAGATATGAGTCTCCGCTGTGGATAGTTTAACAGAGACAGACACTAGTTCACATGTACAGTGAAACACTCTTTACATGATCATTATATCTAAATATTCACATAAAACCTTCGAATGAGGATCCTAATATTGAAGGCGGCCTTTTCCCCCCCTATTTGACTCAAACTGTACTGTAAATGATGTAATTTTTAAGCCAATTACAAATAAAATATCACTAAATTAAACAATATTGAGCCAAGGCAAAAGTATGGTATGCTAAAATGCTCCATTCACAGTATTTTCTTAGCAAAGAAGTTCAATATGTCCCAAATTCACCTGCAACTAAAACAAAATTAGCCATTAAAAATTAGCAAGGTAACAAAAGCACCATGGCAACAGCATAATGGCAAATGCTACACTTAGTTGATGTCTACTACAGGCAGTTTGTGCTCTCTGATAATATCCATATAGCAAAATAGAGTATTTGTAGTTCAAACCAAGTCTGCCGTACTTTGCAAACATTAACACATTATCATGTCGTAGTTTTCCAGTTGAAGAGTACAGGGGGTGGCAACGGTGCACATGTAGCGTTTAGCTGGTATTTAGATCAACTTTTAATTGATAAAACTGGGAAAGCTGTCCTGACCAAAGTCACGGGGGATTGAGTATGACTGTAAATATATGTATATGAACAAGCCAATGCCATACTATACTCTTACATGTATGTTGCAAATAACCTCGAAGCAACTACTTCCAACTGCTTCGTGCGCACTTTTTTTTTTTTTGTTGTCAAAAGGGTCTTAACGTTGAAGACGTTCCAAAAAGAATCCAACATGATATGCATTTGCGCTATAACATTGCTTGTTAAATGAATAAACAATTACATTAATTACACGTTTCAATATGCAACTGCGCCCCCTGTGGTTCCAAATCCCAAACACCTGTTATTTGGATTTAGCCTGATAGCTATGCTAGTAAGCTAGGTGGTTAGCAATCAGGTGAGAGTAACATCAACCACCAGCTGCACTCTAACTATAGTCACATGTGTATGGATTTTAAGTATTTGGCTTTATCTGCTGAAAAACACAATAACTAACCTTAACACTGAGCCCATTCAATCTTATACAAACTAAAAATCCTCCTAGAAACATTTGTATACAAACTTTAAATCTATAATGTAAAGCGCAACTTACTGTTAGTCTTTTTCTTCCTTTTGTACATTTGTCGTTGCTCAGCAACATGTCGTAGCTGTTTCTCTGCGCAGCAGCAACTCTCACGAGCACCATCGAGCAGGGTGAGTTCATTTTCCAAGACGAGGGGTGAACCCGTATTATCTTTTATATTCCTACTAACGTTTACTCTTTAGAATTTTCCATTTCTTCATAAAGTATGATCTTAAATTGAACGCAAAACATATAGTATTAAAAAGGGGTCAAACAATTATCAAAAAACATAAAAATACACATGTTGTTGCCCATGGACAACAATGGTACTGGCGACTATAGTGAACATTTACTTCCTGAATCTGAATTGGGAGATGACGGTTTTTTGATTTCATGGTAGCCTATGTTCAGTAATTTCTTTAAATGTAGCCTTAATATAAAGCTCTGCCTTTTCCCTTTCGCACCGTATAGGTTTGCATAAGGTTGACAACAATCTCTGTGTTGCTGTGACCAGTATCTCTCTGTTAAACCACATCTATCTTTCAGCAAGTAGGCTAGCTACTGTTGCTAATTCTTCAAACCTCCTTAGATTTAGCAATTATAGCTGCAGACGTTCAATTAATCGATTCGTTTTCCGTACCAAAAACACTACGTGACTGCTAGCGAACACAGATAGAGTCATGAGTGCAGAAGACTCAAACCCAGCCGCCACACCCACTCTCCGTGAGGACATCGAGGGAGATGCACGATGGATGTCTTTGGTGTGTGAAATTATGTGATTATTATCACTTTTTTGTTACTTATTCCATGTATTTAACATAGCTAAAGCATTAATACAACCATGAACTGCCTGGTTTCCCCAGTCTTGTATTGTTGCTAATGTTTACTCTTTGGGAATTACTGTAAAGTACTTATAGTCATTGTTGTGTAGGTCATTTAACACAAGAACAACAATGTTGATATATGCTTCTGTAATTAAGCAGTTTTCTCCTTAGATTGTCATAGAAATATGCACTAGTATTATTCTGTTTGTATTATATATCACGATTGAGCAAGGACCATCTCTAAAAGAGAAGAGATGCTATGTATGAGATTATAGGCAAAAGCCAGTTTCCATCTGCAGTCCATGCTAATTCGAGCTAATGTCTTCCAATTTATAAATAACAAAATATATTTAGAAATGTTTTAACCATTTGTGTGCATTTACTATACATCAAAACACAAATAATAATTTCATAGTTTGTATATGTTTACTTTCTCTTTGTAGCACAACCGCTTTGTTTCTGACAGCAAAGACAAAGAGCCTGATGTCTTGTTTGTTGGAGACTCTCTAATTCAGCACCTGCACCAGTTTGGGGTAAGTCTCACCCTTTCCTGTGTCTGGTCCTGTAAACATAGTTTGATAGCTTGTCTTGTTCTCTACTTTCAAACAGTCAAAGTTGAAGCTTTCTTGTTGTGCTTTGTCTGTAGATATGGAGGCAGCTGTTCTCTCCTCTCCATGCCCTCAACTTTGGGGTGGGTGGTGATGCAACACAACATGTGCTGTGGAGACTGAGCAACGGCGAGCTGGATAACATCAGCCCAAAGGTCTATATCCCTGCCAAAAATAGAGAACATGATTGTACTTGTTTATTCACACAGTAGACCCATTGTGCTTTATTTGTGTGCGTAAATCCCGTCTCCAGGTATATTGACCCGAAACTATTATGGAGGACATTTAAACATTTCTTTCTCTTCTGTTTTTGTAGGTTGTGGTGCTGTGGGTGGGCACTTTCAATTATGCCCATACTCCTGAACAGATCTGTGGAGGCATCATGGCTATTGTCCAAGTCATTAAGAACAAGCTCCCCAATTCCCGCACTGTAGTACTCGTAGGTTTTTTTTTAATGCATTCCTACAGTTGCATGTAGGTTAAAAATGACAAATGAGGTTCATGCGACCATTAGACTGCATAGTTGGATTTAAACTTTGTGTAATTTAGAAACTGGGAACTGTTTGGATTACGCTACTTGTCACACTTTATTTTAAGGCTTTACTTGTTTGGGGGAAGGCTGAGATGCAACATGTGCTGTATGTTTAGTTGGTCTACAGAGTATTATAACATAACTTCTGACATGGGTGAGAAACTGTTGACTGATCGAGCCTAATTTAAATTTTGGGAAACAACCCATAGATGTGAAATGCTTTTTTACATTGATCCATGTATTTCTAGGAATGTTACTAGAATCAGAATCAGAATACCTTTATTTGTCCCACAGAGGGAATTTAAAATTGTTCCAGCAGAAAAGAGCCAAAGACAGCTTAATGTTACCTCAAGCATGCATACACAAGATTATAATAATAATTATAATAAAAAGAGTTACACATCTTACAAAAATACACATCATGTAACAGTTCTGAGGATTTAGCAGCCAAGTATATATTGCAGTTTTTAACGGCATATATATATATTGCACATATTGCACATAGTTGGTATTTAACAACAAGAGGTGTTATAGTCCGTGTTGTTAAAATAGAAGTGTCCAACATTTAAAGCAACATACATTTGTTTTCCAGGGTTTACTGCCTAGAGGTAAATCGCCAAACCTTCGCCGGGAGCGAAACGCCGCTGTGAACCAGCTGGTGCAAGAGGCCGTGACCTCCCTCCCCCACGCCTCTTTCCTCAACGTGGACCCAGGCTTCGTCCACTCCAACGGCAGCATCTCCCATCAGGACATGTACGATTACCTTCACCTGACCCCCCAGGGCTTCCAGGCTGTGTGCGACCCCCTGCATGCCCATCTCAAGACCATGCTAGAGAAGCCTGCTGAGAACTGAGCAGGGCACAAAGTCACAGAAGGTGGTCCTCATCCCTGTTTCCAGAGAACAGCACTCCGCTTATTAACACCATCAATGATCAATATAATTAATGATTTGAGCCTAAGAGCTGTACACATTATTAACACATTAAGTCCTCTCCATGGTGGTTGGTGACCACTGTTACAGATTATGGGACCATAGAGTTTTTGTTGTGGTAATGATACAGTTAGAAATGTAACATGCTGTGCTGTAAAGAAACAAAGTATTGCTTTTACTCCCGTTAAACATCTGATCCACTAGCTTTTGATTGTCAAAGTGTTTTCTCATAGTAGAATATTCACATTCCTCTGACACATGGTAAATATGAGTGAACACGATCAGAGCCAGACAGTGAAAGGAAATCTGAAGCTGGAAGACACCATTGGTTGAAATGATACTTTTAAAAAGACGCAGCACCTTTTTACTCCAATGAAGATATGCTATAGGTCAAAACATTAGTTGCTGCTCCTTATGTAAAGCTTTACAACTGGGTTCTCCAGTTTTCACTTAAAACTCTCTTGAGACGTACAAGGCCTAATTTACGTTAGAATATGGACGGATATAACAAAAAATAAACAATGATAAAATGCATTGCCCATCTGAGGCTACTGGAACAGGAACTAACTGAAACGGGTTGCCAGTATAGGTCTGGTTAAAAAAAAAAAAAATACAATACTGCCCTTACCAGAAAACTGCTGTGATTTGCCATTTTGGTTCCATGAGTTACATTCATTTGCCAATCGCTTTATTTACTCCATGGTGATGTCTGGTGTCTTTTGTATGTTCATTTGAATGACCAAATGTTTTTTCATTGACTATAACTATGTTTACTTGCCTTTTACCATGTGATTTGTTGTCTCATTATTGTCTTTGCACCTTTTTTGCTTCACCTATTGTAACATTAACATATTTTGCGATGAGAGGCTGTGTCTTGTTTCAAACATAAATGTATTTAAGTAGGTTGTGAAGTTGTATACATATATCTAAAAATTGCTTGTGCTTCAAGTGTAACCTCAACTGCGACATTATGATCAATCAGATCATTTTAAAAGGCTTTACACTAAAATGCTTCTGAGCCTCTTATATGAGGGTTGTGCTACAGACCTTGAAATGATGCTTCAGGATGTCTGACTGTAAGTGATGAAAGAATGCATTAAATATGAAACATTGTTTTAGTGTCCTTTGACTCATTAATTGAATCTAAATTCATGTATTGAAACTAATGTAGTGCAGAGGCCCTATTATGCTGTTTGGGGTTTTCCCTTCACTTTAGCTTGTTAAAGGTTTTTGTGCATGTAAATGGTCTGAAAAGTCTAAATTCCCAAAGATCCTTCCTGAGAGAGTTTCTCCCCCCCACACACTCCTCCTACCGGCCTGAAACACCACCATTTGACTCCTTTGTTTAATTCTGTAACATAATGACATCAATATGTAACACGTGTGCGTCCATTGGCTAGCACTCCAACACATTGTACATGATAGGTTAAGGCGCGAGACATCTCTCAGCTAACCAATCAGAGCAGACTGGGCTCTGGTTTCAGACAGAGGGTGAAAAGAGGTGCTGCAGCACAGGCAGTATGAGAGTAAGAGCTTTTTGAACATTAAAGCATGTCACAGTAGAGACACTAAATACACATATGAACCTGAAGAAGAGTAATATATCCTCTTTTCTAACTCACTAACTAGCAGGGTCATTGTGAGTACATGCCCAAAGGGGATTTATGTTTTGTGTTTTTTTACTTGTTTTCTTCCAGTCTTAAACATTGTTATGAGCAGAGAGCTACACTTCAGTAATTTAAGACTGGTGAACAAGTCTCGTTTTGCCCAACAGTTTCATCCAACATGAATCCCACAATACCAGACCACATACCTTGCCTGATTATGGCACGCATGATCTACCATGTGACAGTTAGTGGTGCACCCATTGCAGTTTTGTTGACAAGGCTGATAACATCACCCATCATTTTTGATTGATGATTACAAAAGTTTGTACAGCAGGAAAAGCCTTATCCAGGAATTAAAAAAATGACAATATGTCCCTGCAGCACAAACCACCAACCAGGAAGAACATCCTTTTTGAGATTTTTGTTTTGCACATGCTACTAATTCACAGTAACAGTTTCAAAAATGTCTATTATGTTCCCCCATCAAGGCTTTACCAGGGATACAAAACAAAGGGTTGCCTCTTGGCTATTTTTTGGTAAGATCATGTAATAAGAAGACACAGTAAGTTTTCTTTCAGTGGATATCAGTATCATCAGGTCTTTCACTTTCTCACGACAATGAGCCATGACTCAAAACCACAAACAGTTTTTTGGGCAAAGATGCATGTTTGGTTTTGGAGCCAAGGCAGAACGTATAAAAGTTAGCGCTGAGCTTCAGTCTGCAATGTTCAAAACAACAGATAAAGCCAGAAATCTAGGTGTAGTCATGGACTCTGACCTGAGTTTCAACAGTCACATTAAAACAGTTACTAAATCAGCCTACTATCACCTAAAGAATATATCTAGGATTAAAAGACTAATGTCACAGCAGGATTTGTAAAAACTTGTCCATGCTTTTATCTTCAGTAGACTCGACTACTGCAATGGTGTCTTCACAGGTCTCACTAAAAAATCTATTAGGAAGCTGCAGCTAATTCAGAACGCCGCTGCTCGAGTCCTCACTAACACTAAGAAAGTGGATCACATCACTCCAGTTCTGAAGTCTTTACACTGGCTTCCCTGTGTGTCAAAGAATAGATTTCAAAATACTGCTGCTGGTTTATAAAGCACTGAATGGTTTAGGCCCAAAATACATTTCTGACCTCCTGCTAAATGATGAACCATCCAGATCTCTCAGGTCTTCAGGGACTGGTCAGCTTTCTGTCCCCAGAGTCAGAACTAAACATGGAGAAGCAGCGTTCAGTTATTATGCTCCAAATATCTGGAACCAACTCCCAGAAACCTGCAGGTCCGCTGCAACTCTTACTACTTTTAAATCCAGGCTGAAGACTTTTCTTTTTGCCGCTGCTTTTAATTGAACTATTCACATCTTAGACTGCACTGTAACTTTTATCCATGTATTTTTTCTTTTAATGTTTATTTTATTATCTTTTCTTTTTAATGACTGATTCTAAATGCCATTTTCTTAATGTCTTTCATTTTTTGTAAAGCCCTTGAATTGCCTTGTGTTGAAAAGTGCTATATAAATAAACTTGCCTTGCCTTGCCTTTTCCTGTCATTCACAGTCACCCACTGTGAAAGGTGCTGGTAGGGCAAGTTTCAAGCTTCAAATACCTGGCAGGCGATGAATGTGCCACAGCTATCATTTCAGAAATGAACACCAGCCTTTATAAAGACAAGAGACAAACAACATCCCTTGTATTCCCTCACTGGGACTGAAGTTAGTGGACTCATTGTATTGGACTTGCTAAACTACAATATGGGACCAAGACTGTTCTTGTTGTTGGCTCTCACCCTGCTCCTATTTACTGATCACAGCCAAGGTATTGTATACGTTTTTCAGTATTTTACTATTAAATTCATTTTAAAGTATGTTTATATCCTCTGCATTTTATTCTGTGATTTGCAAAGGTATTCCTGAGACACATGAGAAATCCTTGGATGTCAGCACATTCTCAGATGGTATGTGATTTTGATGTTTAAAACACATTTTCCACAAGTTGTCCATTTATATGTATTGAATTGTTGTAACTGCATTACTTTATTTCATTCATGTTCATTAATGATCTGTATTTCTTTATCAATTGTATCGTAGCCTCTATTTTTGGAGAACTACTGACTACTGCAAATCCAATCGACATCCCAAGACAGCGCAACAGAGCTTGTTACTGTAAAGGTAAAGCAATGTTGGTGATACAATTTAGCGGTTTCAATGTAAACACAGCCTTAGTGGAGTGCATTTCATCCTAACCCATTGTTCTCTTTGTGTATTTGGGGCGCCCAGGAAAAGGAAGAGAGATGAAATCCCGCTGCCTTTGTCAGCAGTCTGGCAGACGCAACGGCAGGAATGGAAAATGTGAGTTATAGTTTTAGTGATATCAGTCTTGTATTCAGTATATTCCACTGGCTCGTATGGAAAAGTGATTAGGGACTCTTCAAAAGGGTTGATAGAGATTTATAGTGACATTATCTGTTTTTTAAAAAAAATTATCTGTCTGGATTCTTTCAAACCACAAGGGAAAACATTTTGCCAGAAGAAAAAAAACAAGAATCTGAGGACGTGCATACGGTTTTCCAAACTGAAGAAGGGCGGGAACACCAGGAACTTGGGTCCCAGTGTCCCAATATGAACAACAACAAAGAAGTACTATAAATACCTTATACTGAATTAAAATGTATACATTTATCGCTAACATGCATATTTCTCTCTATTGTATTTGATTAAAAAAACAATTGTAGCTTGTTGACAATGTTTGCATGACTATAACTTTCTGAATAAGCACAGAGACAATGTATCCTCCTCAATAAAGTCCCAACTAAATTGATTTTGATTGTGTTGATTATTTATTCATTATGAAAAACATTCTATGAATTAAAGCATGATTCGATTTATATTTACCTTTACCTACTAACAACAATAATAATAATAATAACAATACATTACATTTATAAAGCGCTTTTCCTGGTGCTCAAAGCGCTTACAAGCAAGTAAAACAAAATAACAACAAAAGTAGAAAGTGCTAAGCTAGGAGGAATAAGGGCGAGGGGTTAGTTGATTAGGAGTTGAATTTGACATAAAACCTTACACAGTATTAAAATGATTTCCACTTTAAATGTCGGTGTTAATGTATTGCACGTTAACAAATATAAATCTAATAAAAAGAAATATCCAACAACAAAATGTAACTTAATTTAAAGTCAGTCACGCTTTACAAATCATCTTTGCCTTTCAAAACAACAAGAAACAGAAGAACTGATAACATTAAAATCATATAATTGACTATGTAGGACCTTTCTATACATTTTATAATATGACTGTTAGTGTTAAGACTGTAGAGGGAGCAATTGGACAAAATGTGAAGGACTCAGTTGAACAGCAGAGGGAAAGATAAAGCAAACACACCCATCAACATCAGAACGCCTCGGGGATGGAAGTGGAGGGCGGAGGCGTGACCTTAGAGGGAGAAAGGGACGGAAACAACAACAAATAAATCACATGTTGCATTTAGTCAAACGGGAGGTATCTGTACTTGTAAAGCACATATTCTGAAGTCATTAAAGGTAGCGTAGGTAAGAATGGAGAAACCAGCTCGAGTGCGCTAGAATTTGAAAATACACAACCGAAAAAAATCTGCCCTTTCCTTCAGACTACCTTACAGAGCCCCTCCTCCAACACACACGAACGCGCACATGACCAATGAGGGCACGAGATACATTTGTGCACGAGATGGAAGGCTGACAGGCAGGTAGGCCATCCAGTTACTTTAGCCGGGCCGAGGCAGATAACTGGACTTGCTTTGTACAGCGCCACGGCTTCCACAGATGAAATATTTGTATATATTTATTGTTAAAGCATTTAATTTATTCATCGCTATCGGGATGTTAAGAGCATTTCATGGAATATAACAAAAAGTGTTTCTGAAGTGAATTACCTACCCCACCTTTAATAGAAAAATGATGGATGTCATACCATACAATAAAGTCAACAAGTGCTCATATGCTCATCATATCACTCACCAATGACCATGAAGGTTTTGTACTGGAACGCTTCGATATTGGTCACAGGATTCCTCGCCCTGCATACGTAGATTCCCTTATTCTCCTTAGTCACAGAGAAAGTGATAACAGGACCGGCCTCTACATTCGGTGATAGTGGATTGTTAAAGAACCAGTGGAAGTCACAATCCGGCTGAGTTTCAGCGGAGCATGTCAACGACACGGAGCTGCCAATGTTTGCTTTATCTGGACCAGAGATCATCACATTCAGAGGGCCGTCTGCAAACACAAAGACAGAGACTTGGTCAGAATAAGGTACACTAAAAAGGTAGAAAATGTGTTGCCTTGGCACAATACTTTTTAAAGGTCTACATTTGCATTGTTTAACACTCAAAGTTGTGGCCTGGTAAAACTGAAAACCAATGTGTACAAATTACTGTTATAGTAAATAACTATTACCATATTACAATATATTCACTTTTGCATTTAGTTAAATATCCAATCACCAACTCAATACATTTGCCTAACTTATATAAAGTTCACCCAAACTAGATCACCTGATCATTAAAGATAACAGCACTCTTTGAAGATGTGATTTGTGCCGTTGTTTTCATTATACTATTGTCAAGGATGCAACAATACATTGTCATGCAGCATTTAAAAATAAAATAAATAAGGATTTTCCCAACGGATTACTCACAGTTCACCAGGAGCATATATGTGGGGCTTTTGTGTTGACCAGCCTGATTGGTAGCGACACACTCATATGTCCCGTCATCAACCCGATTCACCGGAGTGAAGTACAGCATGTTGTTCTTAATGTGGTAGGACATGAGAGGGTTTGCTGTGGAGCTTGTCATGTTGAGGTGCATGTTGTCCTTCATCCAGTAGATCATGTCATAAGGCCCAGAAATGTCACAGGTGAGAGTGAAGACATCTGAGTTTATTGGAACTGTGGTGGTTCTGATCATCACTGATGATATTGCCTCTGTGGGAAGAGAACAAAGCAGGAATCAATCAGTATTTCATCAGTTGTACAGTCACATGACATGCATCGAAGAAGTCAAACCCATTAGATAAGATTACATTCTACTTTTAAATGTAGTTTAGCATTCAAACAGAACAAAAGCAGTTAAGTATATTTAAATATGTTGTGCTTTTTGGGTTTGTCCCTTTCCTGTAGTGTGTAATATAGGTTAATGGTCTCCCTTGCACTCTTTTGTTTACTTCCATAACATAGTGACATCACTATTTAACAATTGTGCTTCTATTGGCTAGCGCTTCAACACATTGTACGTGATAGGTTAAGGGGCGGGACATCTCTAAGCGGTTGACCAATCACAATAAAGCTGACCAGTTAACCAATCAGAGCAGACTGGCTCTGGTTTCAGACAGAGGGTGAAAAGAGCTTTACAGCTGTCTTTACAGACCTTTTTGAACATTAAAGCATATAAACATGTCACAGTAGAAACACAAAATACAAATAACCTGGAAATGAGCATTATAGTGTACATATTAATATTATATGCAAAAATATATAGATTACAGTATGAAGTTAGGCTTGTAATACAATATGAGATGCTGAGTTTTTCTTACCAATGACTGTGAGCATCTTGGAGTTAGTGCTGTTGTTTCCCGTCACATTATTGTAGGCCAAGCAGGTGTATTCTCCACTCATATTGAAAGACAAAGGGTCAGTTGTGAACACAGAAGAATTGGCCACGCTGGAGCCATTGAACCACCAGCTGTAGTGACTCGGAGGCACTGATTTGGCAGAACAGGTAAAGACAGCCGAGTGCCCTTCCTCCGCAAAAGCTGGACCATCAATCATGGGTGTTTCTGGTCCATCTGCAACAGGAAGAAAGAAAGTAGGCTCTCGTGGTACCAACATTTCTAAACTACAAATACTATGAATTAAGATTAAAAAAATGGTCAGTTAATAATTGTCACTTCAGTGTTACTCACAGTTCATAAGAAGCATGTAAGAAGGGCTGGTCTTGTTCCAAAAAGGATTCAGAGCCATACACTGATACAGTCCAGTATCATTGAGTTCAAGCGGGTTGAAAGTGACTATCTTGTTATCCATGTAGAAAACAGTTCTGTTGTCTTCATGCAGAAGCTCACCGTTTTTCATCCAGTAAAAATGCTCAGCAGTTCCAGTCACATTGCAAGTTAGGTCATAAAAATGACCTACTATGGCAGGATTCATTGGTGTTTCTATTTGTACATCTTCTATTGGATCTGGTAAGAAAAAAAGCAACAGTTATTTAGGTCTATCCAGAGCCACATTTCCTGTTTTTGCACAACATATAATAGCAGTCCAAGTCTCACCAAAAACAGTGAGCATCTTGTATGCAGTGCTGTTTTTTGCCGGTGATGTTGTTGTAGGCCATGCAGGTGTACATCACACTCGATTCGTCAGTGAGAAGAGATGCAACATACTCAGATGCATTGGACACTACAGAACCATTGAAGAACCATTCATAGGAGCAGGGAGGGTTTGATGAGGCGTAGCAGCTGAAGGTGGCGTTGTCTCCTCTCTTAGCAGCATTGGGACCCATAATAGCTGGCATTTCTGGTCCATCTAAACACACAGATATAACCTTAAAATCACCTTTACTGAAAAGAAAACTCACATGACTGTCAATACCCAAAGAACTATGTATGAATGCCGAAGTCCACATTTGGATAATCTGACACCAACAATTGAATGTTTAATTCTTTGGTTACATTTTCCAGATAAAAACAAATATATATAATCAAAATGTTTGGTTGAATCTCTCTCTTTTTGATGGATTAAAAAAGCCCAACCATGTCAAAGGGGGATTGGGATAAAATGCACGATGAATACTCACAAAAAACATCCAGCGAGAAGATATGACTGTAGTTCCTACTGAATTGGTTGGATGCTTCGCACTGATAGTTCCCATTGTCAGATGTCATGACAGGATCAAAGGTGAGGGTGGTGTTTGTCCATTGACAAGTTTCTTCTGTTGTCAGCATACAGTGGGGACCAATTATACATCCAGAAAACTGACTCCACACTTCCTGCTGTCTCACAGGTCAGAGTGAAAGTGTGGTTCTCGATTGGCTGAGCTCCGACAATCTTTATTGACGCCATAGTCACTGGAGCTATCGAGGAGAGAAAATAAAAAGATGACGGCACTCGAAGAAATGTGTGAAACATTGGCTATATGTTTTAGTGATTTTCATTTGTGCAGTAAATAAACATTGGTTTGAGATTTTGGGGAAACATTTGCTTTCTTCTATGAAAACATACCATTCCCCAATATGTTTAGCTTAGCTTAGCATTAGCATAAGAAACAGGCAGGAACAGCGAGCCTGGATCCATCCAAATTAAAGAATGTGCTAGTAGCACATCTAAGGCTCTCTGACTACTCATTTGTTTAATTTGTATAAAATAAATATCTTAATTGCTGGTAGTCAAATGGCGTTACCTTTGGATGGAGATCGGCTAGCTGTTTAGAACTGTTTAGAGTCTAAACAGAGCTAAGTGTCTGCCGGCTGTAGCTTCATGTTGAACAGACAGTGTCAACAATCATGCAAAACAAATTAGCATTTCTACCAAAGTGTACTGTGTTTTTTGTGTACAGTTACTTGCCCAAAACAGTGAGCATCTTGTCTGCACTGCTGTTTTTGCCGGTGATGTTGTTGTAGGCCATGCAGGTGTAAGTCCCACTCATGTATTTGGTAAGAGGAGGGGAGACATACTCAGATGTATTGGAAACTAGAGAACCATTGAAAAACCATGTGTAGGAGCTGGGAGGGTTTGATGATGCGTAGCAGCTGAAAGGGGCGTTGTCTCCAGCTCCTAAGAAACTTGGTCCCATGATAGTTGGTTTGTGCGGGCCATCTAAACACAGAGATATTACCTTAAAATCACCTTCATAAAGACATTCTTACAACGCAGAACTGTTCATGATCAGAGAGGTCCACTTTCGGTTAACTTGACACCAACAATCTGATGTTGAGGTTATTTCAGTCAGAATGTTATGATAGATCTACTCTGTTATGTCTCACATAATTCACAAGTTAATTATTTCTTACATTCATTTCTATTTTAAACGGCAGTATTAGGGGAGAAGGGGGTAAATTGAGCCAGTGGGCAAGTTGAACCACCCCCTGTAACCAGGCAACGCCTTATAGTTGTAATCAAGTCACCAGAAATTATGCAAGCTCCTCCTATTTCTCATTGCCTGTGAAAGAGAGATACTCATTGTGTTCTAGTAAGTAAACATTTTTACAAAAAAACGTTTTTTGCTTGTCAAAGTACATTTTCTAGATGTCAGCTATATCGGCTGTCATGTCAAAAAAAAAGTATCCAGGTTTAAACACATATATTGTATATGTTGATGTGTTGGCAGCGTATTAAACCATGTGAATCATTAAGCTAAAGATGACTCTGAATTTTAATGCTAGGCTATTTTTTTTAAAATGGTGGCTATGGGGTAAAGTGAACCATGGGCCGTGGGGTAAGTTGAGCCAGTTTTTCAATGGAGAAATTAATGAAAGTAGGCCAAGTTGATAATAAGAGCTCATTGTAGGCTACATTTAAAGTTGAATGTACCCTGTGTTTGATTGGTAAGATGTATGAAATTGTATCACCATTTGTATGATTACTTTTCCTTTTAACATGTTAAAAAAAAATCAATCAATTAAATCGAAATTTATATAAAACATATTTGAAAAACTAAGCTTGTATTTGGTTTGTTATTTATTGTGTATAGTTACCTTTAAGATTTGGTGTAGGTATGCCCAGGTTTGAACAGGTATGCCCAGGTTTGAACAGTGGTTACATTTACCCCCTGACCTGGATCAACTTGGGGCAAATTGAGCCACAAGACTTTTTTTTTTAAGAAGTAATATTTTCACTGCCCTTGATCAAATATGAATTATTATCATTGCCATTGATAGGAGACATCCTGAATTATAGGTGTGTGTTTTCATTTTCAGTTTTTCATGTCATTTCTCCTTGCTTAGAGGACAGCATAACTAAAAAATTGCTCAACTTACCCCACTCTCCCCTACAGTGTTTTGGATGGGTTACTTCTTTGGTTCTGGTTGAATCACATTTTCACTATGTTTGTGACAGGTCGAAAAAGTCCTCCCCCGTCAAAAGGGGTGAACATGTTGCTAAACTGCAAAGTGAGTACTCACAGAAAACCTCCAGCGAGAAGATGGGGCCGACAAAGTGGCTGAGTGCGTTGTTTGCCTCACATCTATAGTCCCCATTGTCAGCGTTTGTGACAGGATTAAAGGTGAGGGTTGCGTTGTCCATTGAGATGTTTTTTGTGTTATCAGCATGCAGTTGGGACGAATTATACATCCAGCCAATATAATGCACACTTTCAGCTGTCTCACAGGTCAGAGTGAAAGTGTGGTTCATGATTGGCTGAGCTCCAACAATCTTTATTGATGCCATAGTCACTGGAGCTGTGGTAAGACAGAAAACAAAAGGATGCTGGCTAAACTTGAAAATATGTACAATACATTGGTAACCTGGTTTAGACATATTGTAAATGGGGTCATTGGCAGCCTTCTCATATTTTTGAGTATGAAACTTCAGCCACACATTGTTTAGCTCAGCTTTGTTGGGATCATGCAAAACCATCTAACCTGGCTAAATCCAAAATATATGAAAAGTACTTCTTAGACTTACTGGCAAAAGCAAATGTTAAAATAAAGTTGAAGTTCTGGAAGTGCAGGAAGCTAGTTTTTGCTACGTTTGGATAGAGCCAGGCTAGAAGGGCCTCCCTTCACAAATCTTCAACATATTATTGTATACAGTACTTAGTTACCCAAAATTGTGAGCATTGTGTCAGCTGAGCTGTTTTTGCAGGTGATGTTGTTGTGGGCCATGCATGTGTACTGCCCGCTCATATTGAAGGTCAGAGGTCCAATCGCTAGTTCTGAGGTGGTAGCCTGCAGGGATCCGTTGAAGTACCAGCTTATGTGACTGGGTGGATGAGAGTCACTTGAGCAGTTGAGGGTTACCATTTGTCCTGTTAGAGCCATGGAAGGTGCTGCAATCACTGGTGTCATTGGGCCATCTTTTTAAGTAAGAAAATAATTGAAAAGGTTCAAAATACTTATATAATACATTAATATGCTCTTTGTGCATCTACAGGAGATAATATTGAAGGTCCCCTATTATACTGTTTTTCATCAACATATTATAGGTCTCAGATATATACAAAACATGTCTCTGAAGTGTTTGGTTCCAAACACCAAACAGATCATTGCAGCATTACCCATAATCCCCTCTGTTTCAGCCCTGTTTCCAAAGTGCTGATTCTCTGTCTGTTACTTTAGATGAAAATAAGGAGCCACTCCCCACGCCCCTCTGAGAGAGATTTGGTTAGAAAGAACACAATAGTGCTCTAGGAGGAGATTCAGGTGATAAGGTGGGGGGGGGGGGGCTAACGGTTACACAAGCCAAAAAAATCGTTATGACATCATAAAGTGGCCAAAATCTGATCAGCTCATTTTCAGACAGGTTTTTATAGAAATGGATCAGGACAAAAAGTGAGCAAAGCTTTTTTCCTGAAACTTTCAGAATCTCTTTACACAGAGGGGACACATGTTGATGTAGAAGAGACATGAAGAAGAGGGGACACATGTTGATGTAGAAGAGACATGAAGAAGAGGGGACACATGTTGATGTAGAAGAGACATGAAGAAGAGGGGACACATGTTGATGTAGAAGAGACATGAAGAAGAGGGGACACATGTTGATGTAGAAGAGACATGAAGAAGAGGGAACACATGTTGATGTAGAAGAGACATGAAGAAGAGGGGACACATGTTGATGTAGAAGAGACATGAAGAAGAGGGGACACATGTTGATGTAGAAGAGACATGAAGAAGAGGGGACACATGTTGATGTAGAAGAGACGTGAAAAAGTGAATTTTTCACAATAGGTGACCTTTAAAATACTTACAGTTTACTTCGACAGTGTAAGGGTGGCTGGTCATGTTGCTCACAGGACTAGAAGCCTCACACCGATAATTTCCATTATCTGAAAGTTGGACTGGCTTGAGAAGGAGTGTCCTGTTGGTCATATCAATGACTGTTGTATTGTCAGCAGTGATTGGTTGACCATTCCTCGACCACTGAATGTTTCCAACATATCCAGTCACTTCACAAAACAGCATGTACTGCTCATGAAGTATTGGTGGTCCACCTGTTGGATTCACCACAACGGCCGCTATCGGTGCTATAGAAAGAGAAGGAACATTAGTAATACAAATTAACATTGATCTAATGAATTTGGCATATATTACTAGAATATTTAAAATAATAGCCTGACATAGTTTTGTATATGCCTACTGTATTTTTTTTTTTTACTGAAAATTAAAAAGATTGACACCACTATCATATCTGTCTAACAGTAGTTTATCTTAGCTTAGCATAAATACTGTAAACGGGGAAGAAAGCTATGGCTCGTTAATACAATCTGCCACTAGTATCTCTAAAACTCCCTAATTACCATTGTATATCTCATTGCTTATTACATACAATAACTTAAGTGTAAATATAAGTCTCAGCTGGCTTTGTGGAGACAGCAGAATTCAAAGAAGTCACATTCAAGTCTTGCCTGTATGTATAATCTTGTATGACTTCCATTGTTTGTTTTTACATTTGTATGTATGCAAGGCAAATAGACTTTTAATTATTGAGCGTTGGAGATGCAGTTGGGTGGAGTTTGTTATCTTTGAGCACAGCTAAGCTAGCTATGTCTACCCTTTGGTAAACTAACAGCAACAAATCTGGCTCAAATACTTGAAAAACAAAACCAAAACCTACTAAAAATCCTGATCATTCCACTTTCGCTGGTGAACCTGGACGTGACTGTGTTGTGAAGTATGCATTTGTAATTTCCCGACTTGTTTTCTGCAACCATCTCCAGTTGAAGCTCTGGTTCAAAGTGATTTAGGTTCACCCCATTAAACATCCACTGGACGCCCGCTGGAGGGTTAGACTCCGCAGAGCAAGACAGTGTGATGTTAGATCCCGTTATGTAGGCGGACCTCATGGGCGTGATTGTCATTGTTGTGTTACTGGGACCATCTGATGAAGCAAGAAAAGGGAAATTGTTTAACCGGTTGACGTTGAGTGATTGACGTTTATTTTACATAACCTAGGCTATTATTACATATAATAATAATAATAAAGCTTTATTTATATAGCACTTTATACATACAGCTCATACAGCTCAAAGGATGTAAAATGTATGATAATAAAAATAATGTAAAATAAAATAAATAATGGTTTCTCTCTGACAGATAAGTCACAAGACACCTGAGTCGATGCAACAATATAAAACCCCATGAAACAAAGTGAACATATAGGTACAACAGAAAGACCTATACAATAAATAAAAGAATATAAAGGTAGGTAAATAACAAAGATTAAAATAACATTTCAATTGGGGGGTTGCTAATAAAAAGCTAATCTAAAAAGATGTCTGTCGTTTAAAAATGTCCACTGAGATATAAACTCACAGTATATGTTGAGGTGAACAGGGGGGCTGATAGCATTGCTCACACCATTGGACACATTGCACCTGTACGACCCCTTATCATATCGTGTCACCCCGACCATGGTGAGAGTGGCGCCTCCATCGCTGAGCTGTACTCCCGCTCCCACTGCCACCTCTGAGCTGCCTTTCATCCAAACATAAGACAGGGACGTGCCATTGAGCACAGAGCATGTGAGCACTGCTGTGTCGTTGAACTCCACCAGGTCAGTGGCGCTTGCTGTCAGAGACACATTGGAAATAGGCACTGTGGAAAAAAAGAAATAAACAAGCTATTTGTTAGCTTTTATGGAAATGTGGGGTTGTAGTAAACAAGAGATGTTGTGTCTCACCTCAATTAAGTACATTAAGATGTACACAATATCTGTTTTCTTTTTTTTATTACTGCCAAATGTTATTCCATATTTTATTCCATTCTATTCCTACAGTATGTAAATACTGCTATATTTCTCTTTTTTACGTTATAATATAGTTATGTATGCACCATGACATCAAGTCAAATTCCTCGTACGTGTAAACCTACCTTGTAATAAACCTCTTTCTGATTCTGATTCTAAAAAAACATAGATTGAAACATGACTCATATGATATGAACTAAAGTCTGATTCATGCCAAAGCCAAAACATTTTTTCTGCAATAATCCAATGTACAAATCCAATTGGATCCTTGTTGAGGACAATAGTGCAAGGCTTACTTCTGACGGCCTACAAAAAACGTCATCCCTGCACCATATATTGGCCTGAATGCCCACCACTTTGGGTCAAACTAAAACATCTCATCATGGTGGACAGATTGCCAATACATTCGGCACATAAAGTACATTAATACAAACCTGAAGATAGTGTAATCACTTTTTGTCCCTAAACATTTGTATCTATTTCCATCATCAGGTCAAAGTTAGATTTGTCCAATAATTTGATTTATTCCTGAATATCTTTAAATCAGCCTCATGTGTACATTGCTTTAAGTGCAACATATAATAACAATATAGGGACACTGGTATTAGTATTTAGTTTGAGTAAAGCCTCGGATAGCTGAACACTTGTATACTGATATTCTGAACAATCTGTGTTGTTGTATTTGCTGTAAAGTGTCTCTAGGCTATTTGTATTATATGTACAGCACTTTGGCTCGACCAAAAATCGTTTATAAATGTGCTATATAAATAAAACTTGATTTGATTTGTAGTCTTGTTTCAGACAACAAAATGTAAATCAAAATGTCCTACTTATTTAATTTGAAGATCTAAACCCTAGGATACGAGCAAAGCTGACTCATTCTGCTCACTGTAGTCAAATGCAAGGTGACCGTAATGGCTACAGATCACGTACTGGACTTGTATTTGCAATCAAAACTTGGCAAACATTGAAGTAGACATTGAAATATACAAATACTCCATGCTGATTGCTGTTTAAAAACAATGTTATTAGGTCTTTCAATACAATACATGAAAGGTTGATTATACATGTTTTTTAAGATTAAGCTTTATTTATGATACGTAGAGTGTGAGAAAGTATATTAAGAAAGGAGTAAACACAAAAACGGTATCCTTACCTTGGACTGACAGTGTTAACTGATGAATAAAGTTATTAGGGCTAAATGCCTGTAATGTGTACTCTCCAGAGTCTTCTAGCTTCACTGATGTTATAGTCAATGATGAAGTGGTTGAATTGAATGCAACCCTGTCCTTCCAAGAGACGGCGATGTTTACATTTCCCGGAGCTATGAAGACAATCAAAGTATTGTCAGAAATCCACGTTCCTGTTGTGACAATGTCCTGGCTGAAAAGTGTGACGCTGCTGCCCACTGCCAACGGGTTCCTTGAGGCATATATCTTCTGGCTCCCCGTAGCTAGAAACAGAAAACATTTAGTTCAATTAAATGTGATTATTATCCATGCACCAATATTTCTAGTATAAGATTCAAAGTTAACACAAAGCAGCATGTTTAAAACGTGTATATCATTAGGATCTGGAGACTCGCTACCAATGGGTTAATAGAATAAAACATATACATTGAAATCAAGTTCTAAATAATCAGCCTTACCTGTTATCGTCGTGGCCAATATCAGCAACACCACCTGAACATCCATGTTAATCTCCAGTTGATTTGTGTTAGATCCTTCCTTGCCAACTGAATGGACTTGACTCTGGCTGTTATAATTCTAATCGGGTGATCACAGTCACCTTTTATCAGCAAATATTTGCTCTACTTTGCTCAAGCTTTCAATTCACATAAATGCTCACCCCTACCATCACTGAGCCACCACCCAGTCATGGCCACACCTTGTTTTGCCCTGGTCCCATCACCAACCCTAACAAGGTGTGGCAATTTACTGTAAACCTCACTTGTTCTGCAACTTTTAACAAACCAGTTAAGAACAAGAGCAAGGACCTGCTCAGTGGAGCCGACTGCTGTGACAGACCATGGACAATCACAAACAGTTTAAAATGCTAGCCGAGCACCAGAGGGAAATATGTTCATGCTGACTTAGGCAATTAGTTTAAGAAGGTGGCGATATGTTATGTGTGATTGTACACCTATTTAAGCATCCATTGGAAATCCTTTTGAATATATATCACTGGTAACTCTCCATCATGACAAATTGGCAATGTTCGCTGTTAAGAGTTTTTGGATAACCAGCTGCATCATGTATAACAATATTGACAGGATTCAATGGAGGGCAAAATGGTTAATGTACCTGCAGACCCATGAGGAATATTAGGAATACTATTTCTTCTCAGAGGAAATACACTTTTATTTAATATGAAACTGGAATCAAAGCTTCTGAATATGCCAAGTACCTCTAAGGAATAAAACCAATGTGACTTTTCAATAGTCTTTTGGTTTTCCCTAATGACTGCCAGTGGTCACCAATGAATGGTTGTGATATTTCTTTTTAGTTTCCTCATTGTTTAAAGTGGACACAATATGCTGATATTAAGGTTTCATACTTGTGTCTACCTGAAAATAAGCATATTTTTCTACTAAAATACCTTTATGTTTCTCTGACTGTCTGTTTGAGTGTACCTGTATTTACCCTCTGTCTGAATCTCTTTGTTTTAACGCCTGTCACTTTAAATCTGGCTGAAAAAAAGCCCAGTCTGCTCTGATGGGCTTTCAAAGAAATTGCGGAGATACTCAGATGGGATGGTTTATATTAATAAACCTCAAGGGGAGCTTAGTCTTAATGGCTTGTTGAAACCTGACAAGAAACTGACTGGATTATCTTATTTCACAGTTTGAAGTTTGGTACTTCAGAATGTAGAAGTGAGTTGTTCATAATATGTCCCCTTTAAACCTGTATACAAATCAGCCAATGCAACGTGAAGGCCTTTTCTCTCGGTTTGATTATTATACAATCTTTCTTTAATAGTTACAGCAATTCAAGTGGAAATCATGAGCGCTACACAGTACGACAAACAAAGTCTTAATAAAACAACACTTAAAGCGTCCGTGCAGTGGCATTTTTTTATTATGGGTACAATGGAATATTTGTTTTGGCTGTAACTTTTGGCTCAACTCGTGTGTCATTGTTTATTTGAGGTATGAGGTTGTGCAAAGTGTTTTCTGTACTCCTTATCAGCCGGATTTCCTTGTTTGATTACATGACACACAAATAGGTCAAAGATACAATATGTTGATCTAACTAATCTTGATCACATTTGATTATAACAATAATATTGTATTCATAATTTCTTTGGTGAATACAAAAAATAATTAAAGACACATATAATTAGTTTGAAATTATGTATTATTACGGTTCACTGGATCTGATTTATTTCACTGCATCAGTCATTCATCGACTGAAGGAGCCACCGACATCTGTAGAAGAGAGATAAGATAAGATAAAATAGAACTTTATTGATCCCAATTTGGGAAATGTTTGTGTTGCAGCAGCATAAAAATACATGGCATTGTACAATACAAATGAAAAAATATACATGTTGAATTTACAAATGAACAATAACAAGATATAAAGAAAGGTATTATTTACGTATGTGACGGATGGAATATTACATTTTAGACTCAGGTCAGATTAAATCAGTGTATGCAGTTTAGTTTCATATAAGCATGGCTGATTGTCAGAGTAATTCTTCACACAGTGTTTTCCTCACAAAAGGTTTGGCAATTTATTTATAAGCTGACTAGAAAAGCAAGGCCTGTTTTGAAATGTAGTTGAAATGATTTAATCCCCAATGATCGTAAATACATTTTTGGGAGATTTTGGAGAAAACAAGCTGATTCAATATTACAACTTGAACGTTTTGTTGGATTAAGATGGGATGTTGTTATGTTTTTGAGCTGTTTCATAGACCTACATTTAAGTGATTACATATAATAATATCATAATGATTACTAATTAATACTATAAAGAATCCCAAATTGAGGTTTTATCACTGACTTCACAAAAGGAAGCAGTTTGACCTTTAATCTATCTCTTAAAATCATTGTATCATGTAGAGTTGACTTGATATGAACTAATGTAGACATTTCCCAATTTTAAAGGAAAAATAAACCTTTTTTGTGTTTTCTAAGAGAAAACATTTATGGAAACCATGCAGAATTGAGTGGACATCGATATATTGGAATATTTCGAAGACTATGAAAAAGAGTGACTGATTAACACAACTTTATTCTACAACTGACCGGGCAATGAGGACAGGACCCCGACCCACAGCAGCAGCGACAGGAGCCCAACACCCACTGCTCGTTGTTCAGATCCTGACAAAGGAGACTCTGTGGAGAGAAAACTAAGTCAGGGACAGCTAGAGAAATATGGATAGAGGTGGTAAGCAGTGGAGTACAAATACTTCGTTACTGTACATTTTTCTGGTATCAGTACTTTACTCCACTACTTATTTTTATGACGACTTTTTACTTTTACTTCTTACATTTCTAACACAAATACCTGTACTTTCTACTTCTCACATTTTCCACACAAATACCTGTACTTTCTACTTCTCTCATTTTCCAAACAGCTGGTTCCTTTAGTCTGAATGTGTGTTTGATGCGTGATCATTATTCTTTAGAGTCATTGCGTGCCTATTGATTTGAACACGATCCGTGTATCCATCATTTCCTGGTCTTCTCTAAAGAAGAGGGACCAATGGAAACGTTGTCATGTTGCCGTTGTTCAGCATGGAAACATTCATTAGCTAACAATGACATTATTGTTCTATTAATATAAAGGGAGGTCAGGTACTCTTTGAAGCAGCTGCTAGTTATGGGTACTTTTTACTGAAGTACATTTTGAAGCCCATACTTCTTGTAGAGGCTAAGCCAACACTTTAAGCCTCTGAGGATCCGCTATGTTGGCGTAATTGACGCACACAAAGTTTGCTAGGTGAATACAAGTTTGATACAAAGTTTACACTTAAATACAGTCCATTTATTTCCTGTTCCCTGGTGTCCATTTAACTTGCCTCATTTTCACATTCAAGCAAATATTTGTGTGTGTTCTCCGTGTGTGTGTGTGTGTGTGTGTGTGTGTGTGTGTGTGTGTGTGTGTGTGTGTGTGTGTGTGTGTGTGTGTGTGTGTGTGTGTGTGTGTGTTCAAAAACTGTTTGGCCTTCCGGCGAGCCTGTAACCACAAAGGTTCCTACCTTTATACCCACAGTGTTAATTGGCTCCTACACTTCTTTACTTTTACTTGAGTAAAGAAGTTTAGTCAGTACTTCTACTTTGACCAACGTATTTTTAAACACGGGTATCTGTACTTCTACTTGAGTAAAGGATGTGTGTACTTTTGCCATCTCTGAATGTGGAGGTTGACGGCTCTCTACTAAGAAACTCACTTGCTATCATGATGTTTGTGGTGATATTTCTGTTCACGTTGGTGCGATGGTTCGAGGCCAGACAGGAGTACGACCCGCTTTGCTTCTCGCTGACACTGAGCAGCTCCAACAGAGGACCCGTGGTGTTCAGAGTCTCTCCTCCGAACGCCCACTGCAGCCGGGCCTCAGGGCCGGACTGGGCTGAACAGAGCAGGGTCAGATTGGATCCCACGGAAAAGGAAGTCGTGTTCTGTCCATTGACTGTCAGCGCCATGTTATCCGGACCATCTGAGAAAGAGACAGAAGGAAAAAACACAGTCAATAATCAGAAAGTTGTTTGTCAAGTAGGTTTATACATATAAGGGATCTGATTTGGTATTTAATGGTGCATACAGTACATACAATAACAGGGATTGTACTAGTAAGCTAAGAAGCATATATAGGATTTTTCTTTTTTTAAACTATAAATAAATTCATAAAGGTGATACATACTTGAAATATAAATATACTAAGAACAATAAGAATATGACAAATCACTCTGAAAAATAAAAAGTGTGCAGGAAATCAGAGTATTAAGTGCTGTTTTTGGAGAGATAGCATTGAATAGAAATGTGCAAAATTAAACAGAGGAATGTGCGAGGGAAACAGCATTTCATTTACTCAATATAACAAAATAACAGCTATTTTAAGGGATAATGATTTGGCATCTCAAACAAAATGTAAGTAATTTTATTTCATTTTTTATTTTAAATTGTTCTGTATTAGATACGGTTAAAATGAAATGCTTAAAGTAATATGTCCAAACAAAATGCATTTATTTTGTCTCAAGCAACATTTTCAATGCAGGACTTTTACTTGTATTAGAGTATTTTAATATAGTAAGTACTTTTACTTGATTTGAAGGATCTGTATACTTCCCTAACCACTGAATGTACGAGCTATAGTGCCGATGGCTGAAATATCACTGTCTTACTCACAGTTGATGGTGAAGTTTACTGGAGCACTGGTGCTATTACTGAGAGGATTGATCACAAGACACCTGAATGGTCCCTGGTCGTAGCGCGTCACATTAACTATAGTTAAAGTGGAGTTTCCATCAGTGATCTGAACTCTGTCACTTCCTGTAACCTCAGAGCTGCTGTTCAGCCAGAGGAAAGAGAGAGAGGATCCAGAGGAGACGGAGCAGGTAACGACGGCCGAACTGTTGAACTCCATCAGGTCGGTCGGATTGGCTTTCAGCGTCACATTGGAGATGAGCACTGTGTAAGACAGGTGGAGGAGACAAGGGTCAAGATGTTTCAACACACTTCACACTAAGAGGCTTTATAGTAAGAAGCAATTGAAGAATAGCATCCACAAAATAAATGGAGGATCAGACCCGGCGATAAGGGGGAAGCAGAAACAGGCTCAACATATTTATTGGCAATGGCAATACATGTGAATATATGTCTTTAACTATGTTGTTTT